GGCCCCAAGCAGGGCCATGAATGCAGGGCCCATACAGGGTACAGTCCCCAGGGCTCGGAAATGGGGTGCAGCAAGGAGGCCCAAGCAGCCAGACCACTGTGGCTGAGGAGAGGGTGGGGGGCCCAGGCCTGGCCCTGCAGGGCCAGCTGTGAGCTGTGAGGCCGGTCCCTGCCCCAGGTGGACCTGAGAGGCCTTACGCACATACTCGTCCCCAGCTCTTCATCACAGTCATGGACAAGCTGCGCCTGGAGATCCGTGCCATGGATGAGGTACAGGGATCGGCAGGGAGGGGGCCGTAGGTGGAAGGGGGCAGCATGGGGTGTCGGGTCCCAGCGCTGTATGCTCGTGTCTGCAGATCCAGCCCGACCTGCGGGAGCTGATGGAGACTATGCACCGCATGAGCCACCTGCCCCCCGACTTCGAGGGCCGCCAGACGGTCAGCCAGTGGTGAGTGTCCCACCTGGCCAGGTAGAGCCACCTGTGGCACCACTGAGGCTCTTCCACATACCCCTATCCCGTGGTGCTGTGCTCCCCCAGGCTGCAGACCCTGAGCGGCATGTCAGCGTCCGATGAGCTGGACGACTCGCAGGTGCGCCAGATGCTCTTTGACCTGGAGTCCGCCTACAACGCCTTCAACCGCTTCCTGCACGCCTGAGCCTGCAGCACTGGCCTGTGGGTGGGAGGAGGGGACGATAGTCATAGGTGATAGTTCTTGGTTCCTTCATCCTCCACACTCACCCTGGACATCTGGGCAAGTCCCTGTTTGCAGCAGCTCTCTCTGTGTGTCTGTGGTGTCAGGACTTTGGGGTCCCCTTCCCACAATAAAGCTGTTGTTTGACTCTCCTGTTGTGGGTAGCTCCTCTGGGCCTCTCATGTTCTGTCTGCTCTCCTGGCCTTCTGGTAGGGCCCTGCCCTCCTGGGGGCATGCTCAGCACAGAGCCCCTGCAGCCTGTGTAGCAGTCTAGCTCCATCCCTGCCACATGTCCCTTGCACAGCCTGTTGCCCTCAGGGGCAGCAGCCTCCTTGGTGGGTGCTGCCTGGGTAAGCAGGGAGTGTACAGGGGTGAGCCTCCACAGCACCTAGGCCTAGGGAACAGATCCTTCACCTGGGCCAGGTGTGCCTGCCACACCTACCTCCCACCCCTCACCTGGGAGCTCCAGGCTGCCTGGGGGCTTTATGGACTACAGTCAGACCCCAGTGGGCCCACCCAACAGTCCTCACTGGCTGGGTACAGAGGCTGCTGTCCCCGCAGCTCCCACTCTAGGGACACCACATACCAGCCCAGGACTTCAGACTCATGTGCAGCCCCAGCAGATAACTCGTTGGGGGAGTTTGTCATGCCTGCCACCGAGGGGGCCCTGAGTCCCTCCCCCAGGAGCCCTGGGACTGGCCATGCCTGAAGCGCAGTGAGGGCTGCACCTGCTGCTGTCAGAGGCTGTCCTCCAGGGGACAGCAGCAAACCGCACAGCCACACCTGTGGGCTCCAAGAGGTGCATTATTTCACATTTTACCAACTGTGGCATCAGAATAAAGGGCATGCTGGAGTTTAACTGTAGCATATTCTCAATGGCTGGAAGAACAACAGGGTTTCTTTTTTTAATAAGTATTTTATTGTATGCTGCCAGTATGTATAAAACAATTACTCTTGTGAAACAGACGTTCATGAAAATTCAGAGAGGTAGTTAAGTACTGACAAAAGTAGAAGTTTATATGGTATGGCACATTTGTTATAAGGATAAGCTTTGTACAGGCTTCAAATTTAGCTCTTTTTCGAATATTCACTGGTTCATGAGAAGTGGTTTGGGAAACCTTTGAAAGATTCATTTTACTACAAAAAGGAACAGACTTTCTGGGGTCTGAAGGGATTTGTACTCAACGGTATCCAGTCAGCAGAGGATCATGTTGAGCATTCTGCAGACAGAATTGTTTCAAGTCTGCAGATGGCTGGGAAACTTTTAACACAGTTGAGCCTGGCCTCCAGCCAGCTGTTGAACCACTTTCTTCATAGCAGTGCACTCGAAAGCCAGGCCAATTCATGGGTCAGTGGGTCGGTGGGTTGTGAGTCGGCAGGGCCACATGGCTGGGCCAACAGGACTTCTTGATATTTATGGCATCTAGCACCAATGGAATGAGGCATGTGGTGTCTTAAATGTTGAGAACCAAGGTGGAGATGCCATTGTGTGTGGGCTGCTTGGGCATGTGGAGGAGGCAGGCAGGGATCTGTGTGCACAGGCTGAGTTGGAGCTGCCTCAAGTGGTCAAGGGCAGCTGTTAAATGGGTGAGTTAAGTGGGTGAGTAGACATGGGAGGCTGAGGTTCAGGGGGAGGTTGTGGAGGCCGCAGGCTTGGTGTCTCCAGGGCACAACAGGAATTCTAGCAGGAGGTCAGAGGACAGGTGGGATCAGAGGCACAGCACTGGGAGGTGGGGCTGGAGATCAGCAAAGGAGGGGAGGACATGGGGCAGGAGCCCCCAAGAGGCCCTGGTGGCAGAGTCCAGGGTAGACTGAGTGAAACCAAGAAGAGCACTCCTGGGGTCTGACTGTGGGGCTTTTGGTGACCTTGACAAGCACATGTGGGTGAGGGGGCACTTCAGGAGTGCCAGAGGCCTCACGAATAGTGTCCAGAGGAGCCAGAGGGAGGCAGATGGCCAGGGAGGGTGGTTTTGATCTATTTTAATTTTTTTATTATGATGAAATATAAAATTTGCCATTTTAACCACTTTTAAGTGTACAGTTCATTGGCATTAACTGCATTTACAATGTTGTGCGACCATCAGCACTGTCCACCTCCAGAACTTGTCCTTATTCCCAAACTGCATCCATTAAACACTAATTCCCCCTCCCTCCTCCTCGGCTGCTTGGCACACTATTTACTTCCTGTCTCTGTGAATTTGACTACTCTAAGCATCTCATATAAATGGAATCATACAGTATTTTTTTTTCCAGTGACAGAGTCTCACACTGTCACCCAGACTGGTGTGCAGTGGCTGAATCATCGCTCATGGGTGCAGCCTCGAGCTCCCAAGTTGCTGGGACTATGGGCACATGCCACCGCACCCATGCCTGTGTTTGTCTTTTGTGACTGGCTTATCTCACTCAGCATGACGTCCTCCAGGTTCATCCCTGTTGTAGCATTTGTCAAATTTTCCTTCCCTTTTAAGGCTGAGAGACCACATTTATTTATCCATTCACCCATCAATGGATATTTGGGCTGCTTCCAACTTTTAGCTATTGTGAATAATGCTGCTGTGAACACGGGTTTATGTTTTTGCCCTTTTTTTGAAGCTATTCAATGTGATCTTTTTAGGATAGGAGCAATTGCAGTGAGCTTGCTGGGTGACAAAAGATGTTTCAGTGGGGGCTGGGATGCAGAGGAGGGTATGGTACAGGGGACTGGCTGCACCAGGGGAGCTGGCACCAGGCTGCCAGACAGGCAGACATTTAAGAAGCTGGCGATGCTCTCAGCAGCTAGAAAGGAGGGCATCAGCTGGGAGAAGTGTGGGTCCAGGAGTGGGGGGAGTGCAGTGGCCCAGCACTGAGGTCCACTGGAGGCCAGCCATGTACATACCTTCCAGGGCTCAGGCAAGTCTAACCCCGGGCCCAGAGACATGGGAGGGCTGCAACATCCATGCCTAGGTCAAGACCTCAGCCCAGAAGCTAACAGCCCTGGAGTAGTGGATGGCCAGGGGCCAAGGGTGGAGGTGTCTGGCCTGGTCCCGGGGCCATGGGAGAGGGAAAAAGCCAGCTTGATCCCACTGCGTCTTCAGAACTGTCTTCGTCATTGTCCCAGGGGCCCAAGGATCATTTGCACCCCCAGGTGAGCTCCCCCTGTCCCCTCCCTGCCCCAGCTCCACCTTAGGGCCTGCAAGTGGGTGCCACACTGCAGGTGTCCCCAGCCAGGAGGGCATAACCCTACCCAGCACTAGCACACAGGTGAGACAGATGGGAGGAGCACCTAACCCCAGGCCTGATGCCCTCCCTGCCCAGGCTCACCCTATCCATGGCAAGACAGAGGGGCAGAGTCCTCAGGCTCCCAGTTCCCCCACCCTAACCACACCCCATGGGTCAGGTTGGCTGAACCTGGCAGGAGGGGGCACCCACACTCAGCCTCCAGTCTCCTGGGTGGGGTGTTGGCTCTCTGGGGTCTGCCCCTTCCCCCAGACTGCCATCTAGGTAGAGATAAGGCTTAGAGTTCAAAGGTCAGAGTGGGAGCCAGCAGGGAGGGATAGGGCCGGGAACCACAGCCTCCCCAACCCTTGCTGGGCTCAGAGTTCAGGATCCTGCCTCAACCTCTTCCTGACCCCAAGAGCCCCGGGCCAGGTGGTGGCCAGGACCAAGGTCCTAGTCTTCTGGTTCCCTTCCTGTTTGTCTGTGCTAGAGCTTTGGCCGTTTCCTGGGGATTTTCCCTGGTGGGCCGAGGAGGGAGCATGACTCAGCACACGCCTTTTGGTTCCCTCAGACTCCAGCCTGTCAGTCCCCAGAGAGAACACAGGCCAGGACCCAGGAGGAGAGAGCACTCGGTCCCCAGCCCCGGGAGGCAGCGGGGAAGGGGCAGAGTGTGGGCCGAGATGGCCATGTGTGGCTGGGGCGGCATCCTTGCACCTCTGCCCCAGGTCCCCAGAGAGAGGGTCACAGGAGAGAAGGGGAACAGAGTGGGTGGCAGGTAACGGAGCAGGGGCCTAGGCCACTCATCAGGGGAAGGAGATAGGGGCCCAGCCCTCGCCCTCCCGCAGGCAATGGCTCCACGCAGTCAGGAAGGATCTGCCGCTGGAATGGTTAACCCGGGCACCTCTAGCAGCCAATCACAGAGCCCTGCAGGAAATACCTGGGAGAGGTCCTCCTGCTGGGGCGGGCAGGTCGAGCCCAGCCCCGTCTGGCCCCAGGCCACCTGAGCGGCCCTCAGCCGGCCCAGACTCACACGGCCTCCCCACAGCAACACGGAGCCCTTTGGGGCCTGAGCATGGCAATTCTGGCGCAGTTCAAGCCACGGCTGCTGCTGACCATGCTGGTGGTGACGGCGACAGCAGCCCAGCCTGGCCGTCTGTGGAGCCTGCTCACCTCAGGCCAGGGCACTCTGGATCTCAAGGGACTGGGTGGCCTGTTAAATACGCTGGCGGCCCGTGTGCACTGTGCTGACGGGCCGTGTGGAAAGGTAAGGGCCCCACCCGACGGGCCCCCTAGCCCCAGCCCCTTCCCGCCTGCTCCACCCTGCCAGTCGGCAGCAAAGGGCCTGGGCAAACTCCAGGAGGCGGGCCAAGGCTGGTGGCAGAGCACCCTGGCCCTGCCAGCAGGCCAGAGCCCACCGGCCTCTGCTCAGGGCTCAGGCAGGCCTGCCCTTTCCAGGGACACACAGCTCCACTTCCCCCCAGGACACCTGGACCACCTCCCCACCCCCTGGTGACCCCAAGGCTGTCAAATTGGCAGTGGCTCCAGGAAGAAACCATACAGGGATGGGAGACTCTTGCCGTGGACCCCTCTGTGTGTACCCCTCTAGTGGGGTACATAGGAGGGCAGGGTGTGGGCGCATGAGAGGGGATGGTGCAGGGGCATTGGATGCAAGAGGGAGAGGAGTATAGAGGTGGCCTCTTGGAACAAGCAGCAGTTCCCTGCACACGGCTCAGCCTGGGCCTGCCTCTTCCTGCCTGGTGGGCCCAGCCCTGCCCTGCCCACCTGTCTCTGTCCACAGTGCCTGTCTGTAGAGGATGCCCTGGCCCTGGGCAGCCTTGAGGAGCCAGGTTTCCCCCCAGGGCCGGTCCTAACATCCAGCTACATCGCTCGCCTCAGCGCCGCCGCTGTCCTCTACCTCAGCAACCCAGAGGGCACTTGCGAGGACATCCGGGCTGGCCGCTGGGCCTCTCATGCAGACCGTCTCCTGGCTGTGCTCGAGAGCCCCGAGGCCCTGACCCCAGGCCTGAGCCAGCTGCTCCAGAGGATCCAGGCCCAGACTGCTAGTCGGGCCACTGTGGAGGAGGTGAGGACCCAGGCCAGTTGGCTCGAGGGTCAGGGAGGGGAGCCGTTTGGTCAGGGGGCTGGGTCTGGCTGCACTGGGTAGAACTTTCCCCTGCAGAGCCTTCTGGGGACCTGGGGCTACAGTCAGGAGGCTGGAGTGGGCTGGGATCCACAAATAGGTGTTCACCACTGAGCAGGGCAGGAACTGCAGGAGCCCAGGGAGGGGCCCTCCCAGGGGATAGGGGCCAAGATGGCTCTGGGGCCCAGAGAGGAGTCCAGAGGGCAGGGTAGGAGCCTGGACCAGCTGGGCCAGGGCAGGGATGGGCTGTGGCCCCAGGGAGGGGCTGAGGCAGAGCCCAGGTCTTAGCTGAGCTGGAAGAGGTGGTACCAAGTCCAGAAGCGCTCTGAGGAGGCTGGTGGAGGCAGATCCTGGGGTCAGTGGGAGATGGCAGAGCTGTAGGCCAGGTCACACTGGGGGCAGCAGCTGAAGCCTGTCTCCTCCCCTAGACCTGTGTAGACATTCCGCAGCTGCTGGAGGAGGCAGCATGGGCAGGGGCTCCTGGCAGCCCAGGGCAGGTCCTAGCTGTCCTGCTGGACCATGTCAGAAGTGGGTCCTGCCTTCATGCCCTGCCAAGCCCCCAATACTTTGTGGACTTTGTGTTCCGGCAGCACAGTGGCGAAGGCCCCAACATCACACTAGCTGGTGAGGCCTGGGCTGGAACACACAGGGGGGAGTGCCCTAAGCCCTCCAGCTTCCATGTTGGGGGTGGGGGCAGGGCTAAAGCCCACAAAAACATTGTGCACTGACTCTGTCCTCCCTGCCAGAGCTGGAAGATTTGATGCAGCACCTGGGGGTGGGCAGAGAGTCCCAGGGTGACCACAGTGACCACAGTCATCTGGGCAGGGGGACCAACCACCAGGATCCTGTGCCCCATGCCACCCCTGACAACAGCTCCAGCATGTGGGACACGGTGAGCAGCCTGTGGGCCAGGGTCTCGGCTGAGATGGGGCCCCATAGTCCCTCAGGCCCTGACCCTGTCCTGCCACCCTCAGGTGTGTCTCAGTGCAAGGGACGTGATGGCTGTGTATGGGCTGTCGGAGCAGGCTGGGGTGTCCCCTGAGGCCTGGGTCCAACTGAGCCCTGCCCTGCTCCAGCAGCAGCTGAGTGGGGCCTGCAGCCCCCAGACCAGCCTCCCCATCCAGGATCAGCTCAGCCAGGCAGAGAGTGAGTGCCCACCCCATAGTTGTGGGGATGGCAGCTAGTGGGGGGAGGGGCAGCACAGGGGAGGAGGGAGCCACTGAGAATGAGGGAGGGCTGGAGAGAGCTGGGCAGGAGGGCCTGCAGGTAGAAAGAGGAGGCGGCACAGGAAAAGGTGGGGACCTGGGAGTCAGGAAGGTCAGCATGAGCAGAGGCCTGGCACACACTGACCACCTGAAGCCCTGGTGAGCTCCTTCTCATTCCTGGGCACCACTTGGGCACCCCTAGGAAGCAGGGGCTGGGGCAACATTGGGAAGGGGGCTCTCACGGTGCTCCCCCTGCCCCCAGAGTATCTGTATGGCTCCCTGGCCACGCTGCTCATCTGCCTTGCTGCGGTTTTTGGCCTCCTGCTGCTGACATGTGCTGGCTGCAGTGGGGTCACCCACTATGTCATGCAGACCTTTCTCAGTATGGCGGTGGGTGCTCTCACTGGTGATGCCCTCCTGCACCTGACACCCAAGGTCTGCCTCACCTGCCAGAACCCCCCATTCCCTACCCCAGGACTCCCAGGGCATGCCCTCTTTGGGACCCTTTTCCATGCCCAACCCCTCTCCCCTCCTCTGGGGGGCAGGGGGCCCTAAGGCCCCCAGCCCCGTGCCTCCTGCTGTCTAGGTGCTGGGGCTGCACACGCACAGTGGGGAGCACAGCGGGGAGGACCTCAGCCCACAGCCCACCTGGCGCCTCCTGGCCGTGCTTGCGGGTCTCTACGCTTTCTTCCTGTTTGAGAACCTCTTCAACCTCCTGCTGCCCAGGGACCCAGAGGTCAGGCTCGTCGGATTGGACCCATTTGGTGGGTGGGGTGAGAGTTGGCAGGTCCTGACCATCTATCCCCACAGGACCCGGAGAAGAATGGGCCCTGCAGCCACGGCGGCCACAGCCACGGAGTGCCCCTGCAGCTGGCGCCCAGCGAGCTCAGGCAGCCCAAGCAGCCTCACGAGGGCTCCCGCGCAGATCTGGTGAGTAGGCGCCCGATGCCCCCATCCCACGCAGAGCCCCTCCACCAGGACCTCTTCCCACGCCTCCCCTCCTCGCCCCCCCGGAGGCCTGTGCACCGCCCCCCCACCTCCTGGCAAGAGCTCATCACCGTTCCTCCCAGGTGGAGGAGGAGAGCCCAGAGCTGCTGAACCCGGAGCCCCGGAGACTGAGCCCAGGTGAGCCCTGAGGGAGGCCGAGGAAGGGCTGGGGGGCCCGCGGTCGGGCGGGGCGCGGGCAGGGCCCGGGGACGCGGAGGGACCTGGCCCACGCGGACCCACTGTCGCTGCGCCCGCAGAGCTGAGGCTGCTGCCCTATCTGATCACACTGGGCGACGCCGTACACAACTTCGCCGACGGGCTGGCGGTGGGCGCCGCCTTCACGTCCTCCTGGAAGACCGGGCTGGCCACCTCGCTGGCGGTGTTCTGCCACGAAGTCCCGCACGAGCTGGGTGAGCGGGGCGGGGCCGGGCGGGTCCTGGGTGGCCTGGGGGGCGGAGCTATTGACGCGGCTCCGCCCCCAGGGGACTTCGCGGCCCTGCTGCACGCGGGCCTGTCCGTGCGCCGAGCGCTGCTGCTGAACGGGGCCTCCGCGCTCACGGCCTTCGCCGGCCTCTACGTGGCGCTCGCAGTCGGAGTCGGCGAGGAGAGCGAGGCCTGGATCCTGGCGGTAGCCATCGGCCTCTTCCTCTACGTGGCGCTCTGCGACATGGTCAGGGCGGCAGAGCGGGGGCTGCCCTGGGTGGGGAGCTGAGCTGGGCGCTGACCTGGGCGCTGACCCGGTGCCCTCCTGCCCCTCAGCTCCCGGCCATGCTGAACGTGAGGGACCGGCGGCCCTGGCTCCTCTTTCTGCTGCACAACGTGGGCCTGCTGGGTGGCTGGGCCGTCCTGCTGCTGCTGTCGCTGTACGAGGACAACATCACCTTCTGATATCGCTGGCCCAGTCTCCGGCCTTGGACGCTGACTGCCGGCCCTGGGCCTATCTCAGCCCCTAGACCCGCCCAGCACACCCAGACCTACAACCCAGTAACCAGAGAGCCCCAGGCCTTTGGGAGTCCTCAGATCCAACTCCAATAAAGATGCTCTTGTCCTTGCAGCCCAACCATGCTCTCTGCTGAGAAAGGCCACCGAGAAGGGCATTACCTCCTTCCCGCAGCGTGCCTGGCCCTGAGGGCAGCCAAGATGGCTGCCCTCAGGGACCTCCCCTGTGCTGCCAGGACCCTGCCTGGGGAATGGGGCCAGAGAAATTCTCCAGGGTGTGTGGGTAGCAGGTGGGACCCTGTCCCCAATCAGTAATCAAACTTGTTTACTCAGAGCAGAAAAAACAAAATAACCAACTGTGCTTACACAGACTAGGACTTATTTCTCTTTCTTGTGGAAAACAAGCTTGGAGACTGTCAGGTCGGAGTGTGTACAGGCCACAGTCAGGGGCCCACACTCCTTGGCAGAGACATTAATTCTCAGAGTTCCCTTGTAGTCTCTAGGGGTGCCACAACACAGCCTACCACAAACTGAGTGCCTTAAGACCAGAAATTTATTCTCTCACAGTCCGGAGGCTAGAAGCTTGAAACCAAGGTGTGAGCAGGGCTGTGCTCCCTTTGAAGTCTCCAGGGAAGAGCCTGTGCCATGAGCCTTTCCTGGCTTCTGGTGGCCACAGGTGTTCCTTGGCCTGTGGCAACATAACTCCAATCTCTGCCTCCGTCTTCACATGACCTGCTTTCAGGTCTATCAGGTGTGTCTCTCTTCTCTTCTTATAAGGACACCACTCATATTGGATTACTAGCCACCCTACTCCAATATGACTTCCTCTTTTTTCCCCCATTTTTTCATTTTCATTATTATGGGTACGTGATAGTTGTATGTCTTTATAGGGTACATGTGATGTTTTGATACAGGCCTACAATGTGAATTAATCTAATCAGGATAATTAGGGTATCCATCCCCTCAGGCATTTATTATTTCTTTGTGTTAGAAACATTCTAATTTTACTCTTTTAGTTATTTTAAGGTATACCCTAACTTCCTTTTTTTTGAGACAGAGTCTCGCTCTGTGGTCCAGGCTAGAGTGCCATGGCATCAGCCTAGCTCACTACAACCTCAAACTCCTGGGGTCAAGCAATCCTCCTGCCTCAACCTCCTGAGTAGCTGGGACTACAGGCATGCACCACCACGCCTGGCAAAATTTTTTTATTTTTTTAGTTGTCCAGCTAATTTTTTTCTATTTTTTTTTTTAAGTAGAGATGGAGTCTCACTCTTGTTCAGGCTGGTCTCAAACTCCTGGGGTCAAGCAATCCTCCTGCCTCAACCTCCTGAGTAGCTGGGACTACAGGCATGCACCACCACGCCTGGCAAAATTTTTTTATTTTTTTAGTTGTCCAGCTAATTTTTTTCTATTTTTTTTTTTTAGTAGAGATGGAGTCTCACTCTTGTTCAGGCTGGTCTTGCACTCGTGAGTTCAAGAAATCCTCCCGCCTCGGCTTCCCAGAGTGCTAGGATTACAGGTGTGAGCCACTTCACCTGGCCCCTAACTCACTGTTGCTTATAGTCACTTTGTTGTGCTATCAAATATTGTTAATGCTATCTCACTATCTAACTATATTTTTGCACCCATTAACCCAGTATGACCTCATCTGAAAGTCACATTCTGAAGTTCTAGGTGTTAGGGTGTCAATATATCTTTTAGGTGGACACAATTCAATCCATAATACCCCAAGGTCCAAAATGGCTGCTAGAGCTCTAGCCATCACATGCACTCTCTAAGTAGCAGAAAGGAGGTCGGAGGAAAGAATAAAAGGGGTCAGGACCCCAGGGGGCATCAGATCGAGTCTGCCATTCACTCAATACCACAGGCACCTGAGCAGAACAGCAGAGGTCTACCTCGTGTCATGCTCCCCAGGCCTGCCTGTGCTGGAAGGAGGTAGGCACTGCCTGCAGAGATCTAAGGCAAATTGGACAGGAAGGGCCATGTTTGAGAACTTCTTGGCCTGACACAGGTCCCCAGACTGGTGGGGCATGGGAAAGCCATATGCCCCAGCCAACTCCCAAATGACACTGATTCTTCAAGAACCTTCACCAACCCCAGAGAAGGCCAGGAGCATGGGGCAGGGGCAGGGGGAGGAAGGCATAGAAAACCGCCAGCTCCCAGCACAGTGCCTGCCCCCCAGGGAACATCAGGAGTGTGGTCTGGACAGCAGTGTCCACTAGCCATGGGGCCCATGCTACAGGGGCCAAGGGAGAACTCAGCTGGCTTTTGGAGGGCAAGGGCCTATGAATGGTGGAGCAGAGAGCCCTGAACTTGTGGGGGCTTGTGCTGGTGGCCCCAGGCCCCTCCACCAGCTATGGCCATCCAGATGCCCATTTCTATGTGCCTCAGTCCATTGGTCAGTCCGTCACAGCCTTCCCCAATGCCTCCAAGCCCTCACCTCTACTGACAGCCTCACTTCACCTCCTATTGAAGAGGCTGACAGGAAAGGCTGCCTCTGCCTTCATCTTGAGCCCCTCTGCCCACATTCTTTCTTCTCTCTGACAGACAGGGTAAGACCTTGGGCCGCATCCTTCCTGCTGCTGCCCTCCCTAGGACTCTGCTCCTCCGTTGTCTCTGGCTCTTTCCATGCTGACCATCCCTCCCCCACAGATGGGTTCTCATTCATTTGTAAGGATATTTGCTGAGCGCCAGGTTCCTCTGAGGGTTCTGTGGACACTGCCTTATTTAATCAAAACAGATGCCCTGTGATGCAGGAGCCAGAGCTGTGTCCGTGTGTCCTGGGAGACAGTTTATCTTAAGACTTTTAAAACGGTTGGGTGTGGCTCAAGGTTAGCACAGCTGCCTGAGTATCCAAGTGGTTCACTTGTCCACTGCTCAGTGAGTGGGCAGATTTGGATGTGACACAAGCACATATTTCCAAGCCGTTTTCTTGAGTGTAACTATGTATATACATATTTTTTCGAGATAGGCGTCTCACTACATTAGCCAGGCTGATCTTGAACTCCTGGGCTTGTGATCCTCCGGCCTGCGGAATAGCCGGGACTACAGACCTGCGCCACTGGCTGGTTATGACTATGCTTTCTTGTTTTATTTCTTATGATTCCCTTTCTAAGTCCCAGGCCCGTGCCTGGTCCCCTGGACTCTAAGGTCCCCTGGACTGGGCGCACGCTGGGCTTTCAGGCGGTGGGCGTCCTGCGGGAGCGGAGCCGCAAGGCCATCCCGCCACCCTCGGCCACCAGGTGCCGCTGTCGCCCTCACCGCCGCTCCCGCACGGCGGCGCTGCGCAGACGCTGCAGCCCGGAACCTTGGCGCTCAGCTTCCCATCCCCACCGGGCCGAGTTCGCTGCCGTCCCGGTCCCCCTTGATCCGGCTCCAACTGCCAGGTGGGCGGCCGGGCGGGTGGCCGAGAACGGGGCGGCGGCGCGAGGCAAGGGAGGGGTGCCGAGTGGGGTCTGGGGCTCTTGCGCGGGCGGCCCCCTCATCTTGTCCCCTTCCGGTCCCGCGCAGCCAAGGGTTGGCGCCATGTACGCCGTGTACAAACAGGCGCATCCACCCACCGGCATCGAGTTCTCTATGTACTGCAACTTCTTTAACAACAGTGAACGCAACCTCGTGGTGGCCGGGACCTCGCAGCTCTACGTGTACCGCCTCAACCGCGATGCCGAGGTAGGCCCAGACCCTTTTAACCCTCCCCATTTCTCTGTGAGGTGGGCACTCCAGGGACCAGAGAAATTCAGTGAATTGTTTAAGGTTCCCCAGGAGGAGCCACGATTTGATCCTTGATCTGTTGTCTGTGGTTCCTGTTCCCTTAACTTCTACGTTATTCTCCCTCCCTTCTCACTCTGGTGGGAATGGCGCACTGCCCTAGCGCATCTTACTTGGTTTTTCCTTTTTTCAGCAAATTGTTGTGAATGCCTGCTCTATTGGCTAGGTAGTAGGAATACAGTGGTGAACCAAACCTACAAACACTTAGGGAGGGGAATATCTAGTGAATACACATTTAAACGCATTTGCAGGCTACAAGTGGTGTTGAAGGGATAAAGGAGGTAATGAAGGAGGCGTGTATTTCCAGTCAGATGATCAGGCGAGCCTCCTTGAGGCAGAGCAGGAGCTTGTCAGGGGAAGAGCATTCCTAGTGAAAGGAACAAGGCTGGGGACAAGACTGTTGACAGGAGTTGTAGTAACGTGGAACAAGCCCATGAGAAAATACAGGGGCACTTTGGTTGCCAGAGGGCTGAGAGTTGGTCCAGGAAGGCTTCTTGCAAGAGGTGGCTTCTTAGCTGTTCTTCTCCAACCTCCAGGATTCCAGTTGCACATTAGACCATTTGGTTATGTCCACGTTTCTTAAAATTCTTTTAAATTTTCATTCTGTTTCTTTTGTGTATACAGTAGTGCAGTTGCTCCCTGTATTGAACTCGTACCTGATAGGGGAAAGCAGTTCTTGGCTAGTCCTGGTTACAGAGGAAGAATGAACGTTGTACTCCAAGTGCAACATTGCTGCAGACTTTTCATAAATACCTTTTATTTGATTAGGGAAGTTCCCTTGTATTCTTGTTTTACTGAGAATTTTTATCATGAATAGGTCTAGAGTTTTATCAGATGCTTTTTTATATCCAATGAAACAATATATGATTTTTCTCCTGAATTTTGATAGTAAATTATAGCGATGGATGCTATTGGAATAACTCAACTTAGTTGTGTTATAGTATTCTTTCTGTGTGTCACTGGGCTCATTTGCAGATATTTTGAGGAGTTTGGTGTGAATTTCTGCCCTGCGTGCCTGTGGCTGTTGGCGTTGGGATTGCTTCAGCCTCCTGGGGCACCATCAGCCTGGCATCAGTGGGTTTTTGTTTTTTTTTTCTTAAGTTTGTCATTATTTCTGAAACCTTTGGTAGAATTTGCTGTCAAAGCCCTGAAGTTTCATTTGTTATTGTGAAATAGGTTGC